GTTCGAACATTGAGAAGAGTGACATGAAAAATTACTTTCCGTCAGCTCGAGGCTGGTGATTAAATTCGATATGCTTGGTTCTGCAGAAGTGCCTCCAAAAATTCGCGACAATGCGCACCCTCTTTTTTCTTCTAAACTTTTAAATATAAGGTGCACTTTGTACTGAATTAAGTAAATATGGTATTCCATAACAAAATACATTGTCAAAAATTATGCTTTCGAATGAGCAATCAATTGGAACCAGAGTTAAAAAAAATTAACTATCAATGACTGAATGTCAAGTGGAGGTCAAGATATTTGCCTGTATGCAGTTGAACCTCCATAATCCAAACCTTTTTAAGTCAAATACCTCCCCAAGTCAATTTTTTTGGGTCCCTGTACCAATCCCTTATAAAACAATGCATTAAAAACCTCAATCCTTCAGTCAAGGCTTTCCCCTTCAAACCTCCTTAAGTCAAATTTTCTGTAGCCTGTTGGCAATTATTTTCTAGACACAAGAAAGAAAAAACAGAAATTTATGTGTTTTGAAAGGAAGTGGAAGACTTAATTGGGCAAATGAACTTCTGCCTCCATCAAGTTCAGCATCATTTCAACCCATTCAAGAGGCAATTTAAGCCCCCCAGAATATCACCATTTAAAATTTTGGGCAACTCATATGTTTCCTAGAAAAATGGACTTTGTTTTGTAGCTCAAAGGTCTGTACAGTAATTCAAAACCTCCTGAAGTAAAATTTTTCCCCTTGTCCCAATACCTTTTCATGCACTGTTTTTCAATTTCCTCTCAATGCTTTAAAATTCCCTGGAAATGTCCTCTGACAAATTATTGAATACCTTCAGAGCTATTTTAAAAATTAATGATTTTTCAAAACACTCCCAGACGTATGAAGAAAACGGGTGCTACATAAATAATGGATTACGAGTGAAAGTATCAACGAATCATTTCTAGCAGCGTGAGAAATGCAGCTGCTGGCAGTCAAATGTCACAGAAAGTGAATTTTTGGGACTGTAAATATCACCTTTCTTGAAGGTTATAGTGTATGCTATAAGATTATGAAAATTTGGTGGTTGCCAGAGTAAATCCTTCAGAAAAATATGCATTTAATTGTATTATACAGTATATGTAAGTATGTAACAGCACGTCGCTGAATATTTTGCTGCTGCAGACCTTCCATTGAATTTGCTTTTTAAATGCGCTTACTCGTTTTACAATATACAGTATCTTTACATGCTTTACTGGCCGTATATACCGATAGAACTGATATCATAGAAATAGAGCATGACTAAAATATGCATTCACCTGCTGTGCTGCATCTGATGTGATCGAGCATTTTAAGAAAAATGAATCTCTAATATTTAATAGAAAATTATCTGGACTAATAATCCGGATGGTTTATTTTCAGAATAAAAGAGAAGATAAATCAGGGGTTATAACTTAATTTAAGAGAACGTTATTATCCATCAAAAAGGATATAAGGATCGTTAATATTATTTTTACGAAATAAGTCTATAGCGCGAGGGGAACTTATAAAATTTTCCAACATTCGTTAATAGACTGCCTAACGCTGGAAGTTAAGTTTTCTTACCAATTGATGCGAATTTTCTTTATTATAAAATCTTGATAAGATTCTTATCCGACACGTTTTCCATGATGTAAGTCAAAGAGATAAGTTATTGAAAGCTTATTGCATAAAATCTAATTACGAAATCGCGTGGCGGTCACGAATAGCTCGTACGAATGGAAAACAGTTTCACGATTAACATGAACATCGTTCTAATTTGGTTTTGGACTTCCTAAGGAGCATTTGCTGTACTTATTCTGCTCGTCATCACCAACGCATAATAGACAAGGCTTCGAATGTCGCATCCGATTTCGCCCATGTCACATATTGCCCGCGACGGCTCTTTGGGAAGTTCATGCACTCTAACTAGCAGTTGCGTTTAGGACACAAATGGCACGCGACTTTAGGCTGAATCGAAACATGGGTCTGCATGGTTGACAAACGACGGTTGACATTGGAAGAGTGGAGGTGCTTTATCGAGAATTCCTGAACGAAGAGTGAACGTTGACTTGTTGCTCTCTAATGCTTCGTGATGTTCGAACGTCGATGCAGGTGTGCAGTGTTGCGTCTTCTTTGTATACTTCACCATGAGTACTCAGAGTCGCGGAGCGGATTATAATGAAGATGTGCATCCGGCACAGAATTTTAAATCTCGAATGCGTCGAAGTTCTTGTCGAAGCATTCAGCAAGTCGAAAGTTTGCAGGAGCCAGGATCAAGTATGGAGTCCGCTGACTATCATTCCCACAGAATGTTGGACGCCTTCGCAAAAAGTATCAAACAAGATTCGTTGGAGAATTTCAAGACCCGCCTTCGAAAAACCAGTGGACTGCATCAAACTGAGAAACGATTACCAACGGTGAGACTTTTTATTTATGCGGTTTCGGCCGTGAATTCGTGTTCACGTGATCATCGTCCCAGATAACCGTAGATTCTGCACGATAGTTTAAAGCCACATGACTTATTTTCCATCCTTAAAATTTAGAGTAACAACTTTTTAACATCTTTTCGTCTCAGGAACTCTTGTCAGAGTGCCGGAATATCCTTTTTTAGTATTCTTTGTGTCAGCGTCGAATTGGTCGAAGACGGGATTCTATGCACAGTAGTGTATTGACGGATCCGTTTTCTCCGATCCTGAAAATTTCCTGACGTCGTTATCGATTCCAATTCATAATCTCTTGGCGTCCCATCGAACCTGTAAGATACATCTCGTGGGTCGATCCAGAGTGTGATCTCCGTTGGGAAGAGTGACCGCACCAGGTCTATTGAAATACCGCACGCTGCTGTCGCTCTACCGATCAGTGGATCGATGCAACCATTCATTCTAATACACCGGAAAGCTGATCCCTTGTCCGGCTTTTCTGGGTGCCAATGATCGGTATAAGTTTCAGTCAGAACCTCGAGTAACTTCGAGCGTAGGGCGGTCACTCGTTCCGTCCCGAGCCCCGCAGCTATTAAGTTCACTTGTACCATCCGAATGAGGAAGCCAACTGCCGCATCGATTTCTTCCTTCATCTTGCTGCAGGGTAATTCAAATAGAGGGAAATGGAGAAAAAACAAATAATCCGGTGAAGTAAAGTCGTGTCTGGAGTAATTTACGACTGTACCCAAAGCCCCGAGTGGTTCTACAAGAGCCCTTGTAACTTTTCACGGTTTTTTTTTCGTTGAATCCTGATGTGCTTACTTATTGCGTATTCAATTCAATTCTAGATCGTACGTCATCCATCGGAGAACCTGCTTACATATGAGAACGTGAGTGTTTATGCCGATGTTTTTCTCCGTTGAACGATTCAGTTATCCGTTTGCAATCGTGATCGACGTTTCTTATGTCAGGTGTCAACATGTCGAGTTACAAGACGTCCTTGTCGCACTCCTTCACCTGGTCATGCCTCGTGTCGGAAACCGTCACCAGGATTTGCTGTTTCCCCTCGTCGCAGTCCGCGTCGAAGACTTTCGGTAAATTTAAGCGTCAATAATTTCGAAATGTTTGTTTTCTTGGTGAGGACAGTGCGCCCTAATTCGTGATTCATTTTTTCTTGAGCGGTATCGCTTTGTTGCTCGGTCGTACTGTCGGTCAATTTTACAGGGCTTTTTGATGATGGTTGCTTTCTCCTTTACGCCCAGCCCATGTGCATGAACCCAGCTTGCCGAAGAAGAATGCCTTCGCCGTGTCTTGCTTCGTGCTGTTCCTTGGCGGGCGACATGTCCACGGAGACTCAAAGGACCGATGTATTGAGGAAAAGGGTCAGAAAGGCTCAAAGAGCTCGGTTCTACTTGTTGCAACGAGCTGGTCCACATTCTTTCGTTATTGGCGGCGATTTGCCAGCGAAGAACAAGTACAAGATAGACATCGGTCCTCAGGTGAGTTTTTGGGATTGTGTTTTAGTGCTTCTTCGTAGAATGTATGCCAGAACACTACCGTGTTTTCTGTTTAACGAAAAATTTTCAAATTTTTGAAGGGTTGCCCGCAGAACTTGAGTAAACCATACGGAAGGTGACATTTTTGACCTCCAAATTCCTCGCCTCGTATTTTATCAGGGAGCATATGTGTTTATGTGTAAAACCGAAAGTCTAGGCCGTTCAAATAATAAATTCAATTTTGGCACGCTCAAAAACACCTTGCAATATATCCGATTATTAAAGTTATGCAGATCCGGGCATATCCTGTTGAGTTGGTTTCGAAAAATTCGTTTGCGACAATTTTCCATGCGTATAATCTGGTGTTGTATTTTTCAGAGCTGTTCTTGCGGACACGGTCCTTATTGCGTACACGTCCTCTTCGTTATGCTGCGTGTTTTTCAGCTGACTGACACTGATCCGAAGCTTTATGCGAAAGATTTGAAGAACTTCGAGGTGAGATGCAAAGCTCTTTCTCTACGGTTTACAGCTAACAAACGTGAACGAATTTATTTAATAGGTGGAGTCGCTTTTGGAAAAATTTGAAAAACGACGTGCGAATCAGTTGCGACGAAAGAAACCGCCTGACGGAGGAACTTTCCGGAACTCAACCGCGGAAACTACTTTGCCCAATCAAACCACGTGAGTTTATCGCTTTCGCGTGTACAGCATATATGCGAGAATGTTGACATCCCGTTTGATTAGGTCCTCGGATGAAGAATTGTGTGCCATTTGTTTGTTGGAAATGGTGGACGGAGAGGGGCTCACGTCTTGTCGCCACGGCTGCAAGAATCAATTGCATTTTCATTGCATTGCGATATGTAAGTCTTTTCGTCCTTTCGATTTGGATTCCTGGGTGGGGAGTTTCTGAAAAATCATATTGTTTCGTCCTTCGCGTGTATCCTGGATCGAGATTTTCAGAAATACACCCTGTCAAATAGAAATGTAATATTTTGAATACTGCATAAAATTCATTTAGATTTGCTATGAAGGTAGATATTTCTCTGTTTGTGAAGTTCGTGGCAAAATATTAAGGCCAGGAAAGAGTTTTTCCAGTTTCTCTTCTGACATTACATCCACCTCTTCGAACGTCCGATGCTTCTGTAGTCATGCTTCGGCGAACGCGAGATAAACTCGGATACTGATACAAATTTATAAGTCGTGGAATTAAAATGCTAATAATAAATGCCGATAGTATATCTACGAACGTCAAAAAAATGACCAGGAAGGATATAATTTATATTTGTACCTCACTATCCTCCATTTACTTCACTGAGTTTTGCTGCTCCTTTAATTTTATATTTTATTTGATCCGTTTCCGTTGAATTGCGATGTTCAAATTCTGAGCCTCGTACAGTATTCAGCATTTCCCAGGAGGTTTGACTTCCTGGAATAGGAAATAAATTCTGAAGATAGTGAAGCATAGCGTCATAACCTATGTCCCTTGCGGAAAATTGTTTTATCTTTTTCATTTTTAGGGGCGGAAGAATGTCGAAATCGGCAGGAGCAAGTTTTGTGCCCATTATGTCGCACTCCTTGGGATGAGACAAAGCATGACAGTGGCTCGATGTCCATGGTGGATGTGTTAGTCTCACCCGGGCTCCTGAGTTCATCACGCTCCGGCTCGTGTCGGAAGAAAACATCGTGGCCATGGAAATCGTCCAAGTCGACGAACCCTGATCTAGAAGACTGTATTGGAAGTACGGAAGACTGTCAGAGTTTTGTGTCATGCGTTGGTGTTCCATTGGAAGTTAGAGCAAAAGCAAACGCCTGGAGTCGCATTTTCGGGGCAGACTTGATCTCCAGTTTGTTTTCGAGGGATTGGAGCATTCGTGCCGCCGGATTGAGGAATTTGAATCTGCATCTGAGCAGAATTTTGGCTTCCGGGACAGGTTTGTATGATTTCCATAATCTTTCATTTCGGGGTGTGGAGATGATTGAAAAAGCATTCCTCTGTATCGTACGCAATGTGGAAAGTGGCTTTCAGTCGTATGCGGAACTCGACATCTTCCTGGCTTATTTTTTTTTTTTTACTCACGATCGCGAATTTTGGACCGGTTCAACTTGCCGCGTTGACTGAGAATCAGAATAATTTACAGTACTGCATTGTATGTCTGTTGTCTTAAAATCGATGGGTTATTTTATTAAATTTCTTTCCAGAAGTTATCCCTTTCGCACATTCTTACCGAAGTAGAACTCTGCTTATCCTGGCGAACGACCGAAAAATCTACTTGGATAACTGAGAATCCTGGATTATCGAATTACTATCTGAGATTTGTTTCAATATGCTCAGGAAATAATTCAGGACGGTTCACTCGATTACCGATATTCCCGCAAATTCGGTGTGCACTAACTGAACAAATCTCGAGTTTTTCCTGGATAATTGAGACTATAGTAACGGCTCCGGTTGAAATAACCGTTTTGCCGGCTATTTTTTCCCTAAGCGCGTTTAACTGGATTTCCTTAGAGTTAGAATTGCTATTTATTTACGGTAATTTACATATCGTACACGTATGTACTGTATCTCTAAGGTGACGTTCGAAAATGTTCTAACTAAACGGAGAAATCTTGAATACAATCGAGGAAGCATCTTGCAAAAATATTTTAGAGTGACATCTTGTAATATTAACTTTGCTTGATGTAACAATTGAAGTAATCTTTCTTTTGGCATTTTTAAAATTATTACTCTTTCCATGAACTACGTGGATGTAAAATTGAGTTACTGGCGTATTGTGAAGCTAATAACAATGTCTCGTAGATTCGCGACCTACCTTTTTTTTTTCTCAAGAAACTCGAAAATAAGGGTGCGTCCTAAAATTTGTGAGAGTTTTAATACTTCTTCCTCTTCGTTAACAGCTGCTTTCACGACGGATTGGATCGTGGAAGCAATAAGAACGTCAGTCGGAGTTCTCATGGTGATGGCGTCGGATCCTGTGTACAAAGTGTATGTCGGGTGCATCCGAGTTCTACGAACTATCCTGTCTTCTCCCTTCGTTGTTGATGCATCTCCTGAAGAAAGTGTCGCTCGGATGCTTCAGCCGATATTGAACGCGATTATTCTGCGCTGTGCAGACTCGAACCAGAGGACGAGTCAGTTGAGTTTAGCAACGCTCGCCGAACTCGGCAAAGGTGAGTCGCCCGATTCTTGTCTGCTTTACTTGATTCACAGTGGGTAGTTAATTGCATGCGTACGTATTTGATTGCTGGACCATTTCCAGTGGGGATGATTAATGTGAAAACCTATGTGTTGGAAGTTTTTAATGGAGTTCGCGTGCAATTCTGAACGAACAGACCTGAAAATTCCGGGTGCGAGTAGATTGAGTAATCGTTTTAAGTGTTGGGACAGACACGGCACCCTACAGGGATTTTGTCTACTGCCATGCTAAACTTGTTTTGCCTTCATACAGACTCTTTGTAGATGCATAATTAGTTCTTCAACAACGATTCTTCGTTACCATTCATGTTATGGCTTTTGGCAAAGTTCAACTCCTAGAAGCGATGTATTTTTCTATTCTAGTCGTGGCTTCCATATTTATGAATCGGGAGTTAGCATACGATGATATCCTCTGTACAGCAAGTTATCTATTGGTCCCCTGAGTAATCGGAAGATACAATGCACCTGCGTGTGTTCCATAGTTTTGAGGACGAAGACGAATTCATTCCAATCGACGTTTCAATTTATTTTCAGCCGGAGAAGGTCAGTTGGGAGAATATTTCGGTACTCCTGGATTCAAAGCTCCTTTAGAAGCTGTCCTTGATGCTGTGATTGTGGATGCGGTGCCTGGCGGAGCTGCGGAATGGCAGTGGACCCTTGGAAGACTCTTAGCTCTCGAACGTTTGGTGGCTGTTTTCCCTCAAGATTTCTCGTGAGATCCTTTTCTCTTACGGTTTTTTTAATTGTCTTTTAAAAGCTAGTGAAAAGTGCTCCCTATCAATGTCAAATCACATTTTTTCTGTTCTACCATCTATTCAGACTAACTTTTAATTATTGGCTTATTTTTATCGTAAACTTTCGGGAGTTTATTTAGAAACGAATGGAATAAAAAAAAATCACAAAGTTGATCTAGTTATAGGATGCCTCTTCGTTGTCGGAATCGAACGGCAGAATTTTATGGGACGTGATTGTAAATCCTTGAACTTGGATATTTATCATGTTTTTGTGAGAAATTATCTGCATCCAATGCAATTTACTATATCTCATAGTAATATTCCACAGATGCTGATAACGGGCGATAGCAGCAGTACCTTTGCGAAAAATAGCAAGAACGATTAAAACAATATCCTGTGTTTTTAGATTTTGTCTATAATTACGATGGTTGTCCCAGATGGACGCGGCCTCTGATATTCGTAAAGTAGTTATGATTGTAGGAAAAACTTCTGACGTGGCCCATGATTTTCTAAGGTTTCGGGATTTTTTCGGATTTGAAGCAAGTTTTATTTAGCTCAAGACAATAAGTGAAAACTTTCCAGTGACAGCCAGAGTTCTACACCCATGTCACCGTGAGCTAAAAATTTGTCAGACCAGCCAACAAATTTCAATTTTGTTTTTTTTAATCTTTTTTTATGTTGGATAATGGTTAAAACAACCAAGAAATTTACATTTTGGCTGGCATTAATGTTCAGCACCCTTTCACTAGAGTGGAGAACTCTGACTATTACTAAAAAGTTTTCACTCATCATTCGGTAATTTGGATTTTTTATCCAAAAGAAATCTCATGACTTTCTGGGCTATATCTTCCCACAATCACACCTACTGTAGAAATATCAAAAGCCGCGTCCAACTGCGACAACCCTGATGTATTTTTAATCTAAGAAAGGGTTGAACTGGTCGTTGAGTTGCCTATGACAGAAATGAGTTTTCCTTCGTTACGACGAGACATGAGACCATTTCATTTGCAGATTACTACATTTCCGTTTCGTAACCCTTGAAATGTCTTCTTCGCCCGTAGGATAGAATATGTTCCACTGAAAACGGACACGCAGCAAGGTTCGGAAGGCGAAGAAGATGGATATATTTTGAGGAATTTCAACAAAATCATGGCCGTTCAGGAAGTAGCTTGCGCTTCGGTGGCAAACTCTCATGCAGTCGTTGCTCGCACTGCTCGTCATCTTTTTGTGACTGCGGCACTCATGTGTTGCGATGAACCGGCAGCCTACAACGAAGTTTGCGCCATGTTGGCCACTCTGGAACCCGGTTTGCGGCAAAGACTTCAGAAAAAGATAAAGCCTTCAAGCTCGGAAGAGTCTGGTAGTACGAGCCAAAAGTTGCATTTGCGTCTGCCGCTGACGTCCAAGTTGCTGACGCAGTCTTCGAAAAGGCTGCACCAGTTTGTTGTGACGGGTGGAAAAGTTTATCGTGGTGAGGAAACTGATGGATCGATGCCGCGAGAGGAAGAAAGTTGTGGAATTGGTCGTCCTCCTGTCGTTCGTCCGACGCATTTGCCGCTTTTGGGACATGGATTGGGGAAGCAGAAACGAGCCAGGTTAGTTGTGACTGTTTGGGTCTATTGTCTCGTCTGAAGAGATGTGCAATTTAATTGATCACGAAGGATGGGAAATTTCAGTTAAATCTTCTTGAATGCTTTTACTGTACCTTGAAACTCTGGTCTGTTTTCAATTGACATTTCATTTGGATTCATTTATTCTGACGATCATTTAAATTCGAAAAAGGTTTTGAAAAATGAAATGTTACTCGGGGCGGTCTTACGTTTGCACGTTCAATTTTTCGGTTTTTCCCTTTCAAATTTAGACTAAGCTTGAAATTTATCCTCGGAGCTACTGTATAAGAATTTATTTACACGCCCGCAGTAAAGTTGAGATAAATGTGCTGCCCCGTCGAAAATGAATGAAAAGTATTTTCATCAGCTTATTTCGTGTTTTTTCACCCTTCTCACGAATTGCGTACCGGGGATGGCTTTTTCCGTAATAGTTGAACTCCATTCAAGTCGGACTAATTCATTTTTTAATCCCATCTTGAGTTTTAGAACATCAAGAAAAATTATGAAGAAGATTGAATTGTATCCCTCGTTGATTTCGGCTCCTGGTAAACTGAGAAAACGTTTGAAAAACCCCCTCGTATGTTTGCTTTTCTTCCTCGATTCTCTCATGAATTTATGCGCCTCTTCGTGGATTGTCGATGTGATCACATTAGACCCACGTGTGCATTCCTATTAAATTGGATATTGGGTTGCAGGTGGTTTCAGTTCCAGAAGACGCAGTTGACGAAGACTGTTGCGCATGGGGAGAATAAACAAGCGATTCCAGTTCTTGATGCGAAAGCGAAATTCAAAGCACGAGCGCCTGCAGCGGTTGACGATGAAAGCGCCTTACGTTTCAAAGCTGAATTGGTGCCCCTGCGGGTGAACGCGCAGCTGTTGCCTGCATTGCCGTCTTGGCGACCTAAGCCTGGGCTGAAACTCCAAGAGAAAGCTGTAAGTTACAGTATTAGAAATGCTTGGAAATTGATCGGAGCTCATTTCCTTCTTTGTCCATATATATATATACGATTTACCCGAGTGCCACGCCCACCTTGTCTCTGCAAAATCGAGGCAGAAAACCGGGGTGCGCGGTACAGTAAACGTTTTTTTTTTTTTTTCAAGTAGAACATCATGAATTCATTGGTACAAAACCAGAAGAGAGCCACTTCTGGTGAAAATAATAAATGAGAACTTCTATTTGGTGCCAAAAAAACTATCTTATAATATTTTTGAAAGTACTGTATTATTGCGGGTGGACTCTCTCTAAAACGTTTTTCTCTGTATAACGACATTTTTCTGATCCCTTGCAAAAATCTTCCTTGTAGAGAGAGAGTCCACCTGTATTATTTCGTGAAGAAAAAAAATTCGACTCCGAACTTGAAGAAATTGAGGGTGCGCGTCTTATGTGGGGATGAATTTGTGGGCAAATTTCGCTCTTAAAGCCGAGGTGCGTGAGGGCGCGTGGTACTCGAGTAAATGCGGTCGCAGTGCTTTCTCATCAAAGATTATTGAAATGTTTAGGATGCTGGAGCAAACGATGGTGCTGAGGTCGTTATTGATTACAAGGAGGGCAAAGATTGGGTGCGAGGACCGTTGTTGGGAGCTGGAGCCTTTTCTTCCGTCTATCAGGCGAGAGACGCGAAAACGGGTTCAATAATGGCCGTTAAACAGGTTAAATAATTCATTTTGTGATTTTTACGCTGGAATTTATCTTGCCTCGTGGACACGAGTGATTGTAGATCGTTTTCCGTTCTTTTTTTGCCGATTCACTTGTCGAGACTAAAAATAGTTCGCATATCATCAAGTTCAGTACATTTTGATTGCTTATCTTTTGAAAGTGAGTGTGTCATCTCATCGCCAGTTGTCGTCTTGAGTTGATATTTTTCCACGTGGTGTAATCCACGTTTGCTGCATTTGTGAGGATGTGATTTTTTTTTTATATCTGATGCTGATAAGATTTAGCGTTTTACGAATTTTTTTAATGTTTAATATCATTGATCGATTCGATAGTCCCAGAGGTTTGCTTTGAAGGTGTCTGATGGTTTCTACGCTCGTGTTGAAGGTCCCCTTGAGACGGAATTCGAGAGAAGAGGAGAGACGTGTTGAAAATGATATGAAAGCGGAAATCGATCTAATGACGCAGCTGGATCACGAGAATATCGTGCGCATTAAGTTTGCGTGCCGTGACTTACGAGTATTCAACATTTTCAGTGAATGGATGCCAGGGGGTTCCGTGGCTGCCTTACTTGAAAAATATGGCGCCTTTTCTGATCAGGTATGAAAAGTTTTCTGCGAGTAGCAACGTTTGACTCACTTTCCTCGAAAAATTGCCTTGTAAATCTACATATGTGTATGTATTTTTTTCATCGCCGCAGTGTTGCGAAAATGAACTTTTAAATCGTGGATTTTTCCTCTACTTTTGTCCGTTCAAGTGAATATTTTATTACTGTGCAATGAAAATTGAAATACGTTATTAACCTGGGTAAATTCCGTGTTTTACTAAGGAAACTCGATTTCTTGTCAAGACTGAATGCCTTCCTCTGAGAATCTAAAAATCACTCCCATCATTGACTGAGTTTCAGTATGATGAAGAAACATGGCATTAACGAACTGTCAAAAAAGAAGAGAAATACGATTTTTATTTTGGAATAATGAAGTCTTTGCTAGCAGTACACCGGTTTATGGCTTAGTTTTCTTTTTTTCTTTGGACGCGACTGATCGAGGTATTCAAAATTTTAGGAACCTATGTTTGAATACGAAAAATTTTGCCAATATTCGGGTGCAGATGACGTGACTGAGTTCTTTCAAATATTTTTTGCTTCACGTTAATGCATACGGAACACTTATCGATTGTAGTCATTTCTAAGAGTTATAATGGTAGAAGACCTGCCTTGTATTTTTTTTTTTTTTTAGAAAGATAATAGGTGAAGAAATATCAACACACGTCGGAAAGTTTTATTGATCAAAAATATTGGTGCGTTTGATTCCAGGTCATAATCAGTTACACGAGCCAGGTCATTCAAGGCCTCGCTTATCTCCACGATCACCAAGTTCTTCATCGTGACCTGAAGGGCGCCAATCTGCTTGTCGACAAGGACGGACAAATGGTGAAAATTGCGGATTTCGGCACTGCTGCGCTTTTGCGGGGAGCTCGTGGAACGGTTGCGGGGGAATTGCGAGGACAAGTGACGGGCACAGTAGCATTCATGGCGCCGGAAGTGCTTCGAGGCGACGACTATGGGCGGAAGTGCGACGTCTGGAGTGTTGGTTGCTGTGTGTTGGAAATGGCCACTGCGAAGTTGCCGTGGGACGAGCTGCGGATTGCAAACAATCTTGCGCTAATGTTTAAGGTGGGGGTCAATGTTCTTCATGTATTTCATTGGAGAAATTCCTCAAGAATGTGACGATTTTAATTGAAACAGTAGAATCTCATCGCAATGAATTATTGGTCACGAAGAAGTTATTTCTCAGGTCCCTAGCCTAATAGCGATAATGTTATTCAAGTAACTTCATAGCGAATTTAACAATTTACCTTCATGACGAGTCTTTTTTCCCAGTCCTGACAGCTTCGGCGTAACGAGATTTTACTGTGATTCGATATTCCGTGATCGAAAATCGCAGCTGTGTCTTAGCTGTGGGATTGTGTGTCTGAGCCTGCTGTGGTACAGTAATCGGTCAGTTTCGCGTTTACTAATTCAAAGGAAATTGGTTCTATGTTCGCGAATCAAAATCCTGCTTCGATTTAATAGTTAAACGTCGTATGTTTTTAATTTAAAAATTCCAATTTCTGCGTCGAATCTGTCGAAACAGAAGTTTGAGTTCGTTCGTATAAGGTAAGACCTTCTTCTCCCTGGGAGACTCCAGAAATTGAACCAAGTACCAGTTCCACTCAATTTATTATTCAAGATCCCGCTTCAATTGCCTATCAAATGGCTGAATCACCGACCGTCTCGAGAAGAACTTCACTTGACTTGAATTCTGACCCAACGAAATTTCCCGACCTCCTCCGTGCTAAATTAAGTGATTCGGGCCAACTTGACGTGATCTTACTCAACGTATCTCAACTTAATTTCGACCGAACAACCTGCGAAATTCAGGCGACCCGTAAATGACATTTTCTAATGCAAAACTCACGGAGTTGGATGTCGCGTGTTAAAAATAAAAAAAAAACTCGGAAAGGTCTGTAATCTTTCAAATTGTGCATTATTTCCTACTTGAAAGAATCTGCTTCAATCGTGCGTGAAATTGAAGAAAATTAGTTTCGCGAGAACATCAAGGAAAAGGATTCAAGTACTGTATGTGTCAATTTATCCCGAGAATTCTTATTGTTGATTTTATTTGGCGTGAGAACCTTTTATGAGCGTTCAAGGAATCGTGTTCCTGGATTGTGAATGTCCACGCACACAATTTTGATCTCATCTGAAGTATGTTGAATTGGTTATGATAGTAATGATTACGGGATAACTTTTCAAGCACAAAAAAACTATCGTTTTAAATTGAATTTTCGGTTGATACGCGCTCAATTTACCTTTATCAACGGGAAATAATCAAAGGTTTTGTGACTGTGTAGGTTGCAAGAACTGAAGCACCGCCGGCAGTCCCCGTGACTTTATGTGAAAGCTTGAGGGATTTCGCATTACGGTGCTTGGAAATTGACCCCAACCGGCGTCCGTCTGCCAAGGAGCTCCTGAATCATCCAATATTCGACGTCGACGCATCTGGAACGTCTTCGAGGAACGCGACTTGAATCTTTGGCATCTAAAAACAAAACGCTTCTGACAAACCTTGATCGGATCATGGCGAAAAAAAACCTTAAAAGAAGATTCTTGCGTTTCTTCAAAGTTCAGCTGGTAGGTAAGATATGGTTTCATTTCGAAAGAGTCTAGACTACATCAGTATCTTTGTGAAATCATGAAGGGTATCCGTACCCTGTGTTCATATTACCACCTGTGCGGAAGTTTGTATCACTCGGATCTCGTCCTGAATTTTTCAACATTTTACCTGCTTCCATTTTCTTTCTTTTTTTCTCTGAAGAGAAAAAGATATTTGAACAATCGTTTGCGGTGAAGACCGAAGTTTAACCCTTACCTGACGAGAAACGTGAACCGTTGCAGCAGTTCTACCAATTTAATGAACGATTTCTTTAATTTTGTATATACTGTACGAGGCCTTGTGGAAAGCACTCATGCGTGCCAAGTAGATCAAAAACCGTTCGTTCGGGAGAGATTTTAGGAAAAGACGTGTTCTGCAAGGTTTTTATATAAACAAATGGAGTCTCGGGAGGATATTTTTGTCAATTTTTCTTAGTGTAGTCAGCATTTTTCGAGCTTCGCTCCCACCGATGCTTTATATTCTTGATCTTGTGGATACTTCGGCTGCTGTGTTTGTCCAAAGAAAGAAGTGAGGAGCTGTTCGATCTGCCTACGAAACATTGTCGTTGTGCCTTTTTTTTTGTGTTGTGTTGAACTCTTGTGCCGATCTGGGGCCATTAATATAGCGAATGAAGTGAGGAAAAACGTTTGTTTTTTTCTTACTGCGTGGTGTGCCGTGTCAACAATTTTTGCGGAAATGTTGCAGTGGCCGGTTTCTTTTTTTTTAATTGTGGTGTTGGAACTAACGTTCTGTCAAGATGGTGACGGGTAATGGGGTACAGGAAGAGAAGCCGATTGTCAGGACCCTGCCGCAATCGCCTACTGGTTTCTTGAACTTTGCGAAAAACATTATGTTCTTGCTGGGATCCGTTGTTGTGATCTTCATTGCATTTCGCAATACTCTGACATGGTAAATATGCCGATTCCAGTCCTGAGAAAAGCTTCGTTGGAAGATGAGCTTGTTCTCTTTTTTTTTTAAAGGCATGCGCAAAAGTTCTGGGGAGCATCGGCGGATTTTTGGGAGCACCTGTGGGGCATGTATCTGGATGTGTTCATCAGAGTTTTCGGAGAGAGCAATTTGGAAATCAAACTGATGACATGGGGTTCATCACTGGTAGTTTTCTTGGTTTATTGGTCACTCGGGGCCATTTACACGTTTTTCGACTATTTTAATGTACCCGAGTGGATTCGGAAGTACAAAATTCAGCCCGGAACGAATGAACCTGTGGAACGTCGCCGACTTTTGCAGGTTGGTTTGAACGCGACAAATTTTCTCAATCGATTACGTATCAGTTGCATTTTATCAGAGAATAAATGTGTATGTGTCGTGGAGGTTAGAGAAAGATTATGTTGAATAAAAAAAGAAACGTTTGGAAAAGTCGTAGGGAATAGCATACGAATAGCATCATTTTTATTGTTTCTAATTGAATGGTTTGGTCTGCCCATTCAAAAGTTCTGTTACTCCACAATTTGTAGTGTATTGTGTCACCAACTTGAGTCTTATGTGATCTTCCATCAAACGTGTACGTAATGTACGGTATTACCGTACTGTGTATAAAGTAAAATCTCTTTACAACGAACTCCGTTGCCAGAATTTTTCATTCTAAATTTTTGGTATCAATTTTTAGCAGAAAGCCTTGAGAGTAGGTGTTGAAAGAATCTTTTTATGACAGACTTCTCAATTCCAGTGTAACACGCTTTTTTTAGGGATGTTCAATAGATTCTCCTAGTAAAAATGTCCTGTCTATGGCAGGCACAGCTAGAAATTTCGAAACACGATTCTGAATGAATGGTTCTTGTGTCATGGATGGAAGCTGTAATCGATGAAAAAACATGCTTCCAAGTGGTTCCACTCATCATTTCCCCAGAATGAAAAATTTTTTACAGCTGATGTAATGTATGATGGAAGTTGATATTTTTCCTCTGAAGGTCGATCTTTTTTTTTAATAATATTTTAAGCATCCGAGAATGCCAAATAAGGAAGATCTGAATAAGCATAGGCAGGTATGATGTGAAAGTTTTTTTCCCGTTCTTAAATTTTGAAAACGCTCAACAAATTACTGTATTTAGTAATTAGTATGCCAAGATATTTCTGAAGTCCCCATTCGTTTGTTTTAACGAGATTTTACTTCATATTTTCAGGTGGTTGGTCAAGTTTTGGTGAATCAAATCGTCGTCGGTGTGCCTTTTGCATTCGTTACGTCTATCCTTTTGAAAGCAAGAGGTTGCACAGGATCAAGGAAGCTTCCTTATTTTGAAGAAGTTGTTTTTGAACTCATCATCATGGTTATTGTTGAAGAAGCAATGTTCTACTACTCTCACAGGTGAGAGGTTATCTTTTTCGTAAATTAGCTCGTTGAAAGAAGCCGCAACAAATTTTTGTATGCTTTTCACGGTTTTCATTCAGAAGTACGACGTGCGTCCGGTTTCCTTGCGAAGTGAAGTTCGACGCATCGCAGAGAAAAGGTTTTCAGCGTACGCTCTTTCTTCAGAGGAGTCTTTGAAAATTTATAAATCATATCAAATTAAAGGATTATTTTGCAATTTCTCGTATTGAAGGAAGCATCAAAATTTTCCGAATAGAATGGAATTCTTTGCCACTTCAGCATTTTTTTTCACTTTTCTATGTTTTACTTCATGCTGAATTTTTCTGAAGTCGGGTGTTACTGAGTGCCTACAAGAATTTATGAACATCCCGTGAAATAGTGCCCAAGTATGTTGAAAAAGTTCAAGATGATTGGTTGAATGACGAAAATTCTATAAAAAAAAATTGTGCTTTCGACGCGTCATGGAATTGTCATGATAAACATATTACAGTATTTGTCATGAAAAAGTAGTCTGCCACTGTAAAGCCAAGCAATCAAAATTTCCTGATTTGCACGAATGCAAATTCCTGTATACGTTATTTTTCAAGTTTCGTTCAATGAGAGAATGTTTCTTCCGACTTCAGAAATTGTATTGTTGTTTCTCTTCTTCTAAAAATTTACTTTTAAATATTGCGACTGAGATGATGAAGGTTTGGAAAAAAAAACTTCAAATTTCTACAGCAAGATAATTGAGATTTCTTTGTCTACATTTGAACTTTCAGTGGTTGTTTCGACAACGATGTTGAAAAATCCGATTTAAAACTTGTCGGTGTACCGTGGATGTCTATCTTAAGTGAAGTGTTGCTTCCCCAAGAAGTTTGTTTGCTTTTTGCAGCTTCAAGTTGGAGTCGTAAGTTTTTCATAGCATGGCTAAGATTGGTGGAGACATTTTTCCCCGTTTCTATTAATCGGTGGTGTTTTTTTTTTTTTTTTTTTTAAAAAGACCGTGTATGAAAACAATTCCAAGTGTTTTTGAATAAATAAAAGTGCACTATTGACTTTGAAATTTCTCTTTTCAGGTTATTGCATCACAAACTCTTGTACAAGTATATTCACAAGCAGCATCACGAATGGACTGCGCCGATTTCCGTGACCGCGATTTATTGCCATCCGTTGGAGCACTTATTCAGCAACCTTCTTGGTCCGTTTGCTGGCGTACTAGTCTGTGGTTCGCACATTGCAACGCAGTATCTTTGGTTCTCCATGGCTATTGCGAACACACTGAATGCGCACTCTGGGTATCATTTGCCATTTTTTCCGTCTCCAGAGGCACACGATTTCCACCACCTCAAGTAAGTTCTGCGTTGAAAGAATTTAAAAGACGTGGGAGTTAAGAATTTAAGTGCCAGTATCTGTCCATTTCCTTTTTGTACGTGGCACTGAGTTGACTGTGCTTGAGTTGAAAAAAATGTTTTAAGTACGGTAATCCTTCGAAAACTGCTGTTGGACTTTTTTTCAATTTGGACTCGTAAACAAAATGAGTTATCTTATAGAAAAGATTATCTTCCTGTTGTCTAAATTAGTTAAAAATTGATGGTTTACAATCTCTCAGCTTAAACGTCTCTAAACCTTTGATTGTATGACTTACCGTCGCAAGTCCTTAACTTAACCAACTCAGACAATTTATTGTGAGGAGATTTTCTTATTCCTGTTGCCGGTGACAATAAAAAAAATAAGTCCTCTTATTTTCTCCGCATGCTAGGCATGCGCGATATTCACAAGCCAGATTCCTTTTCAGCACCCTCATTTGAGGTGTGCAGGAATTCATACAGATCTACTTGACTGTAGACAGTCATGAATTATCCATATGCGAGACCCGCTATCGATTGAGTAACGGTTCAGTCTTGTTTCTTCCAACCATTCGGGTGGTTTTTGGCTTTTTCCTTGTGATATTTCTGAGGACAGGTGTTTTGTACTCAGAGAATTGTCACAACTTTAAAATTCGATTGTTTCCTTTGTAGAGACTTTCTTCTTAGCAGCCGTATCACCGTTTCGCGTTTCAACAAACAAAACAGAACTCGCGGAAAGTTGAAAACAAAAAGTGAGCACACATCAGCAGTATGTTCAAAGTCGTGAGTTTAGTTTTGTTGATTGTTGTCGTTTTTGCGTGGAACGACGACTGCGTAAACGTCGGCAAGAAATATTACTGCGAGGACATTTGTGAGGCTAGGTACGCTTCGTATTATAACGACGAAGTGATTTTTGTTGGACGAGTCTTGAATCTGCAATGTGTTTTGATGCGGCACCTGAAGGTTGGTTTTTCCTTTCGATATCTAAAAAATAGAAGTGATTAGTATCTGACATTCTACAGAAAGTCACATTGACAACTCAAGTTTGGTGTCGAGGCACAGTTACAGAGAGAGTCCAGAAAATTGTTACACCGTGGTGGTACTGTCAAGGTATGGACAAAATGAAGACTACTAGTAGCAGTAAAACTTCTGTTAAAGTTTCCACGAGTGAGTTTTTCTGGGTTTTTGTAGCTAATTAATTCCTCTAAAATTCGTACTAAATTTTCAGAAACTATTTCAACGACTCCCATGCCGGAATATACAACCGTAGATTTGTCAGTGGTTTTGGAGCACTGAAGTGTCCACTTCCATTTCCACTATGCAAACAACTATTTCGGCACCAAGTTCCACTGTTTTTGTTCCTGGTCCAGTGCTGGTGATTCCGTTGGTGGTCGAGATGAATGAGCCAATTGAGAAGGTGATGGTTGCGTATGAACCCAAACAATCGGGTCATACATGGCTATTTTACGTTTTGATTGGTTTGGTCATCTTTTGCGTTTGCTTGCTTGTCATCTTGTCAGCTCTAGTCTATTTGAAATGGAAACCGGTAAGTTTGTAAAGTCTAGCTTTCTTTTCTAAGTTTCATATTTGAAAAGTTTGAAAGTCCAAAGAGAAATAGTAAATTCGGTTGAGGACACCATTAGGATTTACAATCCCTTTTTCTCTGACGGCGCTGAAGAAGAAGAAGCTGGGGAAATTAGAAACGTCACTTATGGTGAGGCATTAGAACTTGCAGAGCAGGGTTGTTCTTACGCTACCATTTGTCCAATTAGAATTAAACTTTTAAGTGAGTTTCAGGGAAAAATACGATTTTTATACAATACTAATGAATTTTCCTATATTACAGAATTTCAAGAGATGCAAGAGATTCCTGTGCATCAACCAAGGGAAGAAACAACAGACGAATCAACTTGTTAGCACATTCAATGTGTTAGCGCGGAGGATCCACTGGAACTCAAACCGCATGTCAATGGACCATTCTTTAGTGCAAATTCGTTCGCGAGCTTTTATTTTAAGGGCATTTGTTGTTAAATTTTAATGCCAATAAAATGCGTTGCTTGTTGATAAGTCCGCGTTTTATTTTATGGTCATCATTCCTGTTCTCGCGTTTAATTGTAACCTGGGGTATTGGGGAATCACAGGGGCACTTCTTGTTGGTAGCAATTCAACTGTAGTGTTCTCTAAGGCATCCATATTTCTTTGCCTTCTTCTGATGACATACCTTAGCTTTGCATAACAAAGATATACCATGCATGATAACATTATTACAAGTAATACAATAGACACGATCAAATAAATATATCCATAATCTCAAAAATGTAATTGGAGATCACTGATATCTTCATTAATTTTACGAGTAACGTCTTGGGGAGTTAGCTCTTCAACTGCATTAATTTCTACACGGTCCAACTTAGGAACAAGAGTTTTAAAAGGACCATTTACCATAGTATATCTGCAATTAGGTTTAAATTGCAGAATACCAGAATAGGGTAGTATATACGAATTTTCGGTGGCAGGTATTTTGTCATCCTCTGAGCCAGCGCAATATTGCGTGACTCGGCCTTTGTCTCCGTCCACGTATGCAAACTCATCCTGATCGAGTTGCACAACCTTGTCTTGAGGTTTTGAAACCTCCATCATTTCACAAGACTTCTTGATTTCTTCTTCATTGGCACCTCTTTGCACATTTTGTAAACAAGGGACAGCTTTCACTGTGGGCGTGTGTTGCCACCTACACACCCTGCATCCTGAGTAGCCTAGACTTTTTAAACAAGTCGGCAACTCATTATTATTTATGCCGTATAAATTCGTTCCTTGTTGCAGCATGTAGGTATGAGGAATTCTAGCTTGGTACCAACTAGGCATACCAAGGTAGGATTCCCTTGCTACAGGCATCACATGAACTCGAAATAATTCATATTTTTCGGCAGGTCTAATTACTGGAATAATTGTGATTATGTGTATTTTACACGGCCCTAGTCTTTCTCTTAGCGGGCTTGTACACCCTATGAAATTGCTAGTAGTTAACGGATTGGACTGGATAATTGCCATCATCTCGGCAGCAGAAGACCCAATTAATGATGCCCTATGTTCGGTAGTTAGTATTGTTGCTATTGCGGCATGGACAGAATCATACTTGTATAAGTAGGTAGGAAACTGAAATCTGAAAATAGAATCGAGATCCTGAAGTAGAAAAGATTCTATATCCACTATGTGGGTTAATTCAGATCCTAAAGTAGTGAGCTTCATCCAGAAACCAACTGTATTGTTTGCGGATTCTTTTAAGTCATCTATTAGGCTTTTTATACTAGTGAATATATCATCTGTTTCAGGGTTTACCCTTATGAAATCTGTCAGATGGATAATCACACGTTTATTTTTGATTTCAATATCTTCTACTTGGACTATATTACGTCTTAATATGGGAATTATATTCAAATGGGCCATATCATTAGGGAAAGCCATACTCGCATTTCTTACCTTGGCTTCCAAACTTGCGGTGACCACATTTAAATAGTGTGCTTTATGCCGCAGTATGTCCATAGACACGTCTACGACTTTATCCAAAGTGCTGTTGCTTTCATCGACAGCTTCTAGAAATTCCTTGAAGTAGACTTTAGCGGTAGTTTGAATATCTTTGATTCTTTTAAGCAAAACGCCCAAATCTAAAGTTGATTCAATTGTCCAAAAGTTGTTGGGCAGACAAATTGAATACAATTCTTCTACCGTTACACCCACATTTCCAGGAAAAGTCCTTAATGGTGATAATTTATCCAATCTGTTGCTATTTGAAGCAACACCCTTATCATCTGGAATTTCCTCAATTCTGAATATCTTCGATTCGTTTAAGCAAAACGCCCAAATCTAAAGTTGATTCAATTGTCCAAAAGTTGTTGGGCAGACAAATTGAATACAATTCTTCTACCGTTACTCCCACATTTCCAGGAAAAGTTCTTAATGGCGATAATTTATCTAATCGGTTGCTATTTGAAGCAACACCTTTATCATCTGGAATTTCCTCAATCGTTAAGGAATTTGTTGATTTCAACACTAGAATTAGGACACAAACATACCTGGTAAAAACGCGCATTGCTCAACACCGGTATTGGGCAAGAACTGAGCAATTCAAGGCTGAGGCTTGCTAGGTGTTATCTCTTGACTTCCTCCTTTTAGGGGAGGGAGTTCTCTTTCCCTCTTGTCTGGTCCGAAAAGGAAGTATCTTGTCCAAATCCAAACCAGACAGCATTCTTGATTGTGGTTGCAGGCGTTTCACCTTGACGATGGGCTCGGCCTCCTTTTTCTTTTTCTTTCTTATCATGTCTTTTGTGGCCTCTAGAGGGTCACGCATCGCTTCAGGCAACCTTGATTGTCTCGGCGTGCTGGCTGCACCCGGTTGCGTCATCATGGTTTCCGACATCGTGGGGAGAGTTTCCTCATCGGCGGCCATGATGGTTTCCTCAGCTGCTGTTGCGCCAGGAGAAAGAAACTTTCCTATTTCGTCAGTCACGTCTGAAAATAATTCTGTTAGTCTTTCCCGAAGAGTAGGGGATCCCTGCTGTTCTATTATCGCATCGCTTCAGGCAGCCTTGATTGTCTCGGCGTGCTGGCTGCACCCGGTTGCGTCATCATGGTTTCTGACATCGTGGGGAGAGTTTCCTCATTGGCGGCCATGATGGTTTCCTCAGCTGCTGTTGCGCCAGGAGAAAGAAACTTTCCTATTTCGTCAGTCACGTCTGAAAATAATTCGGTTAGTCTTTCCCGAAGAGTAGGGGATCCCTGCTGTTCTATTACAGTTTTGTCAGGATTGAATGGGGAATGATAGACTGAGGATTTTTCTGAGGTAGCACTACTAGGTGCTGATCTAAATACTTCTGTTTTCGGTGGGGTTGTCGGGAAAAGAAGATCAGCTTGACTTGGATTGCTGATGTAGTCGTCAGACTTATTCAAAATCGTTGTTGTAGTTTCTGCTTCACTGACTTCTTCCTCTGCATCTGTTTCCTCGTCTGTTTCTGCTTCTATTGTTTTAGCAATAGGTTTGATACTGGGTTTTGGCGTTGGAAACAGTTTCTGCTCAATAAGAGAAAAATCATCATTAACATCCACAATATCGATCTCTTTTTCGTCCTCCGAATTCAATGGGGACGGTGCAGGAGAAATGGGTCGAATATTATAAGGTCGAACGTAACTCGTGTGGACCACATCAGTCCACTCAGGATGAGCATCGTCTCGGATCCATATCACTGCTTGATTAATTACTTCTAATACAGTGTAAGGACCCTTAAACTTTGCACTCCATTTCTTTCCCACGTAAGACAATGAATGCTGTCTCAACCAAACCTTATCTCCCTTCTCATATTGTGTTCCTTTTCTGTGAACATTTAATTTTTCGAGATACGACGCTTGTCCCTTCCGTATTGCAATTTGAGCTTTCTTTTGAAGAGATTCTAGTTCTTCCCTTTTCACGTCGTAATATTCCCTGATGCTTTGGAATTGACTAGCATCATTTGGTCCTGATAACCAATTTCTTCTGGGTTTTATTCCAGTAACAATTTCGAACGGCGATGCTTGCAAAGCTTCATGCTTTGTTGAGTTGTGTACCCACGCAGCGAGTTTTAATAATTCATCCCACGTGCTGCGGTTCTCAGGGTCAAGATACAAAGCAAAATACTCATGTAGTTCTCGATGGGCACGTTCGTTTTGCCCGTTTCCTTGTGGTCTATACGCGGTGGTTGTATTCGCGCGGGCTCCTAGAAAGTTCGCCATTTCTTTAAAAACGTTACTTAGAAAATTGGTCCCTCTATCCGACAGAATCCTTTTGGGGGCCCCAAATAAACAAACCCAGTCAGTGAGAAATAATCTGGCGGTGGCTTGGGCTGTTGCTTTGCGCATTGGAGAAAATACTATCCATCTGGACAGTCTGTCTTGCATGACTAAACTATATCTATTTCCCCGTTGGCTATTTCGCACTGGCCCTACCACGTCGATACTTATGTCTTCAAAGCATTGTTTTGGAATCCCTGTACTCAGATATGGAGTTCTATGGGCATAGGCTTTTGTTTTCTGGCATACTTTGCACGTTTTGATGTAGCTTGCCACGTCTTTTTCTAAGTTAGGCCAGGTGAATTCCTCCCGTAAAGAAAATACTGTTTTATCTATCCCACTATGCCCCATTGCTGGAGGGTCATGAAACGATGCCACGAGTTTTTCTCTAAGTTTCGGGGGAACCCATATTCTAGTGCCCTTTTCCGTATCCTTGTACAATATCCCATTTTCCATACGGAAATCATTCCCAAAAGGCAATTGATTCTTTATTGCCATAGTTTCTCTTTGTATCAGTCCTCTAGACACATAGGGAATTAAATCAGTTCCCTGCAGCGTTGGTGACAAGTAGGCACAAATTCTCTTTTGATGCTGCTGTGCTGGAGGAAACCTACTAAGAGCGTCTGCATGGGGAATCGATAATCCTTTTCTATATTCGACTCTATAATCGTACTCGTTTAGTTTCATAAACCAAGTTATGGCACGACTACTGTCACTTTGTCGTTGTCTACTCAAATAAGGAATAGCGATATGGTCTGTTCTGATCACGAATTTGTGTCCCCAGAGATAGGATCTAAATTGTTGTACCCCGTAATATACTGCCAAAAGTTCGCGGTCAGTATTCGAATAACGCGACTCTGCGTCATTTAGTGTTCGCGAGGTACATCCAATCAATATTTCTTTCTTACCTGGTTTTTGAGTTAAAACAGCGCCTATCGCAATTGCTGAGGCATCCGTTGTCAGGATAAACTCATGATTAAAATCAGGGTAAGATAAAATTGGTGCCTTCATTAAACAGGCTTTCAACATTTCCACTGCATTTTGCTGTTCCTTCGTCCATTTAAATGGCGTATCCTTTCTTAACATAATTGTTGTACCCCGTAATATACCGCCAAGAGTTCGCGGTCAGTATTCGAATAACGCGATTCTGCGTCGTTTAGTGTTCGCGAGGTACACCCAATCAATATTTCTTTCTTACCTGGTTTCTGAGTTAAAACAGCGCCTATCGCAATTGCTGAAGCGTCCGTTGTTAGGATAAACTCATGATTAAAATCAGGGTAAGATAAGATTGGAGCCTTCATTAAGCAGGCTTTCAACATTTCCACTGCATTTTGCTGTTCCTTCGTCCATTTAAATGGCGTATCCTTTCTTAACAGCATGTACAGAGGTTTTGCTTTTAAGGCAAAATTTTGGATATATGATCTAAAATACCCGACGAGTCCCAAAAAGGCCTGAATGCCCTTCACGTCCTTTGGTGTTGGGAAGTTCTTGATGGCTTCGATTTTAACCGGGTTAACACGGATCCCTTCTTCACTAATGAAAAATCCAAGATATTCTATTTGAGTTCGAAATAACTGACATTTCGAAAATTTTACTTTTAATCCTGCTTTGTCTAGTCTCTTTAAAATGTCATCTAAATGCTGTAAATGTTTGTCTGCGTTGCGTGAATATATAACGATATCATCGATATATATATACGCATAAATTCCCAGACAACCATCTAAAACCAGATGCATTAACCGTTGGAATATCGAAGGACTATTTTTTAAACCCATAGGCAATCTAATAAACTCGTAGTGACCCATTGGGGTTGAGAAGGCCGTTTTGTGCCTCTCTTCTTCACGAATCTTTAAATTGTAAAACCCATGAAGTAAATCTAAAGCTGTAAAGTATTTACAGTTACCCAATTCTTCAAAAATCTGACTAATTCTTGGAAGAGGATGAGGATCCGTGATAACATGGTCGTTTAACCGTCTAAAATCGACGACCATTCTCC